ACACACACACACACACACACACACACACACACACACACCCCTTCAGTCAGGAACATTAATAACTGTCATTATGTCATTGACAACAAAGGCTTTTGTACAAAGTATTAGATAAATTTCAGTAAGTGTGTTCAATACTTTTTCCCTGTGCCATTCCACATTATTACAAATAACTACAAATAACTTCATTTCTGGACATTTATGGTTTGATTTCTTTGTATGTATGGATTACTGAGAAAAATGATGACGTGTTCAATACTTATTTTACCCGCTGTATCTGGCTTTTAATCTAACATTATGCACAATTTTTTAAAATGTGTTTATTATTTTACCTTTTCTTTCTTTTGTTTTTCTGACTAAACCTGTTTTCCACCTTATATCTGAGAATAACGTTCAGGTGGGGAGGGGGACAGCTGTGATCTCCGTCTTCAGTCCATCTCAGACCCCCTAGTGGCAACTCTGAACCACTTAACAGTCCTCTGGAGCAGTCTTAACTTTTCGGGAGAGTAAGAGTCATTCTTAGATTTAAGAATTTTCATAACTTGCTTTTACACTTAAGTCTGAGAGTTGGAGCAAATCTAAGAAATATTCAACACTTAAGAATAAAATTCCACTCTTAAGAAGTTTGATAAATACGGGCCCAGATATGTATCTGATTCAGTACGTCATCTGAAAAGGCCTGGGTCTGATTTGTTACRTTCAGACTGTCATTAAAAAAAACAATAGAGGGTCACATCTACCTGCAGTGTGAATGTAGCCGCACATAACATTTCTTTATTCCTACACAGAAGAAGAATCCTGTCTGATCTCACCAAACACAGAAGCCAGAGGATCACATAAAGGATCTGAGTTTTTGAGAACAAGTCCTGTCCAAACTTAATACAAGCCAAGGCCTCCAGGAAGGCGATTGCCCTGAGGACAAAAAAGAAAAATAAGTGTGAACATAACCCGAGGTTACAGAGATGTTTGAGGGTAAATGATGGTGTTCCTCCTCACCCAAACACCCAGCACTGCGTCCCAACTCTCTTGCACTGCGTGTCTGTGAGGTACGCATAATACTGCCTGAAACACAAGAACACACTTCGTCAGCACTTTACCCGCCGGATTCTGGCTCCCGAGCGGAAAGAAGCCAAGTACCTGACTGTTGGAGCCGTGATGATCCCGATGAACAGGATCCGACACCAGCTGAGGGCGTGGCTCGCAGGAAACACGAAGATGTGTTTGAGGAAGAATGTGTTCAATTCTGTCAGCTGCAGTAAAAACACAATAATGATAGGATTAATATACTGTATAACATCTTATACCATACAACTGTTCATTATGGAGTTTATTACTGTGTATAAAAATTTTTTTTCTCTATTTCCAAACAGTTTTTTTAGAAAAACATCTATGGGATAAATCTTGTGCCAGCAGGAATTGAATTTGAATTGCTCAGATTGAATCTGAATGTGCAGAATTTGAAATTGAAATTGAATGCATTGGTTTGAAAAAACTAAATTTAAAGTTTTGTATCTGAATTTGCTTTGAAACTATATTTTGGTTTATTAAAAAATTCAGTTTGACTACTTTCACCGTCCGTTCCATAATTCAGATTTTTGTGTCACATCCTGGTCCTTGAGAAAGCCAGGCAGAGTAATCAAACACAGATCCACAGATTTATGTTTTACTTTGGTGAAGTTTCCCTTCTGTATGTAACAGAGTTGATGCAATCCACTGTAAAAGTGACAAAAACAGATAAAGTTATTTTATTGCAGTGATTAATTTTACCTATATGTAGAAAATGTTATATTTACATCATGGATCAGTCAGCAGCAGCATGGATCCATGATGTGATGTAAATGTAACATTTTCTACATATAGGTAAAATTAATCACTGCAATAAAATAACTTCATCTGTTTTTGTCACTTTTACAGTGGATTGCATCAACTCTGTTACATATAGAAGGGAAACTTCACCAAAGTGAAACATAAATCTGTGGATCTGTGTTTGATTACTCTGCCTGGCTTTCTCAAGGACCAGGATGTGACACAAAAATCTGAATTATAGAACTGAAAGTGAAAGTATTCAGTCACAGTTTCAAAGCTAATTAATTCAGATACAAAACTTTAAATTTAGTTTTGAACCATTAAATTC